TGTACTTGCCAGGCAGGTGCTTATGCTACTGAGCTATATCCCTGGCCCATGCATGACCTTCTCAACCCAATGAGGCACAGCCCATACACCACTCCTGTATCACAGAGGCTCTGAGAAACTCTGTCCTTGCCCAAGGTCACATAGCCGCATGCTAAGTGACCAGCCCGTAACAAAAGCCTAATCTGACTCCAAAATCCCTGCTCTAAACTACACAGCGTATTTTTCAAACTGAGTTGTGAGTCATTAATTATGAGGTCAGCTGATGCTCACAACTCATTTTAAAAAGGGAGGAAATGAGTAGGAAATGGAGCGCCTCTTACATGGCAAACAGCAAACACTGTGCTTCTGGAGCCCTCACACACACAGGTGCAGGCTGGGACACGACACGAGACGTGCGTTACCCCAGGGACAGGTACAGTAGCCTGACAGGCACTGCGTTACCCACGTGGAGCCCGTTTTTACCCCACAAGCCTGCTGAGTAGTAAATAATCCACATTATTAAGCATTATCTACCAAATGTAGGTATCTACCATTATCTACCACAGATTAGGGCCTCAAGACAGAAACTTCAAGACAACTGTTCTGCCTACAGAGGACGATGAGAGCAGGGACTGGAGAATCTCCCAACCAGATGTACCTTGACAAGGGTGGTGACCAGGCGCAGGAAGGCGGTGGTGACGCCGTACTCGCCCTGAGGCTGCTCACTGTTCATTAGAAGGTTCCCGTACCCACCAGCATTCATCCCCTCCGCGCTGGGGAAGACAGGGGCAGAGGCAAGATGATGGGGAAGTTCCAAGCTTTCAGGAGCATTTACAGAGCATTTTTGCTGTTATCTACACGGCTAAGGCATAAAATACAAATGCTCTGCAAGGAAAATAATCAAATCTAAACAACGTTATACCCAGGGTAAACATTAAGAAAATCTCTTGCTGACTTACAATTTCAAGAACATTAAAATAAGAAATCAAATGAGCATCAGGAAAACGTGTCTTACAAACGAGAGTGAGGAGAGAACACTCAGGTAATAAGACGGAGCCTGTGTACCAGTAACTGGTCTCCTGGGTAGGCTGCAATATCTAGGGAATGGGGAGTAAATAGCATGACTGTGCTTAAGAATGGGTCACTGGGGGTGGGTTTCCAGTACTCTGGGAGGCCAAGGCAGGAAACTTCCAAGTCTGAGCCCAGCCTGGACAACCTAGAGACAATGTCTCAAAAAAAAAAAAAAAAAAAAATCAGGACATAGCTCAGTGTGAAGGCCCTGGGTTTGATATCCAGTGACATTTAAAAATTTTTTTAAAAATAGAATGAATGAGACATCAGGACTGTGAGTGTAGCTCAGTGGAAGTACAACACGGGCCTAGCATGTGCAAAAGGCCCTCGGTTTGATCCCCAATACCACACACACACACACACACACATACACACAGAGGAAGTCAAGAGTCCAGATGCAGATACACCTGGATGCTCCTGACTGGAAAGTAAACTCCCATGTACCCAGGTAGTAAAGTAGGCACAGCTGGATGAGAAATCTCTCACTCACTCTCAGGCTTTAACACCTGTGAGCCGCCCGTGTGGTGCTCTGACAGAGGAGAGCAGCTCTGTGCCCCAGTGCTCTCATCTCCTTTACCTGGTCCTCACTCCCCCGTGGGTCCAAGAGCTGAATGGGCAAGGAGCACACTGAGCATATAGGGAGACAATTTTCATAAAACCAACCAAACCAGACTGCCCTAAATTAAACGCAGCTTGACCAGACCTGGAAGGAGAATGGTCAGCACTGGGGACAAGGCCGATCTGCCCGGGCCTGGCTCACCTAATCATCTGACTCAGGCTGGAGACAGGATGTGCCACGAATGGCAAAAATCCTGTGTGACGAAGATCTGTCCAGACCTGAGGAAGGAAAGAGGAGTTAAGGGTCCACACATCTCTAGGTATAGCCCGAGTATGGATTCCTTAGCTGCTGGGAAGACCTAGAACTCACCTTTGCTGGATTCCGCGCAGCCAAGACAGTTAAGCAGTTGACACAGGAAGCAATGACATCCACAGGAGGGGCGATGACTGTCGTCAACCTGGTTGAAAATCAGTGCACTGTATTTAATAAAATGAACAATGCAATCACGTCTAGAATTCTCTTCCTAAAGGCCTCACACTAGCAGGGATCTAAACACAGAAAAATCCCAAGCAGGGACAGGCGTCCTCAAGGTTCCCACAGGGAAACGTGGAAGGGCCTAGACGATGTGTGCTGAACTCCTGGAAACCCAGCTCGACACTGGGAGCTCTGCTGGGGCTTCGGCTGGTGAGGACTCACCGCTGCAGCAGCATGTAGATGCGGGATGTGATGGGCAGCAGGCAGTCTGCTATGGACAGGTCTGTGCTGATGACCTTGTGGACCAGGTCAATGATGGGCTTGACGCGCTGACAGTGCTGAATCACATCTGTGGGAGAGAGGATTCTGACTTTGGGCCAAACAACTGAGACAAAGCCTAACCCTGCTGGGCCTGGATTCAACCCCTGCCCCTACCTCACTATGCAAGCATGCCCACTTTTCCCTCCCCACGCCTCACCTGCCGTGGACACCACATGCAGCAGCATCTCGATCTCGCAGGTGAAGAGGGCCCAGCTGCTGTAGGAGTACTCCCAGCGCACCAGGTAAGCTCTCTCGTCTGGCATCACTTGACCCACGGTGCCCTGAGGGATGCGGAGGTTGGTCTGACCCCCTGAGGGCAGAGGAAGAGAAGTCATTCTAGTGCCTAAGAACAAATAGCAAGAAGCAACTCCTCTATCAAACAATATTTATATGCCAAGAAATGTGGGCTCTGTTCTTAGCAGCTAACGTTTTTACAGCTTTCCCCACCAAACCAAAGTTAAAAGGTCTCCGCGACCTGGCAAAGGCAACTTCTCCACATGTGCAACAATCAGCTGTGTGCAGAACGGCTTCCATCCCCATCTGCGACACCATGGATGCCAGGACGCTGGCCTGCCAGGGTGACACGGGTCACGGCGCACGGGTTGTGCCTCTGCACTGTGTTCCCGGAGCTCGAGAGTGATGACTGTTCACTCTTACACACTCACACCCAGCAACAAAATAAACTTACAATCTTTCTCTATGGCTTTATGTGGCACTATTTGAAAACTTGAAAAAAAAATTTTGTTTTTTTTTTAGATTTTTTTTTTTTTATTTTAAAGAGTAAAAGAAGGATAACATAATAATACAGGAAAAAAATTTTTTTTGAACCAGGAATCAAACTCAGGACCTTGCACTTCCCAGGCAGGTGCTTTGTCACTGAGCTAGATCTCTGGCCCTTTAAAATTATTTTTTAATTTTAAACCAGGCTGACGTGTGCCATTGAGCGGATCCCAGCACATTCACACTTGGCGTAGCCATTATCACCACCCACCCACATAAGGTGTGTATTCTGCAAAACCCCAGTTCTGGGCCGGTTCACCAGTAATTGCCCAGGCTCTCCATCTTAGAGGCCCAGCAGCTACCACTCTCTGACCTGACAACTCTGAGTGCTGCAGAGAAGTGGAATCACACAGCGGCTGTCCTCTGTGACCAGCTTATTTCACTTACAAAATGTTTTCGAAGTCCATTCATGTTGTAGAATGTACAGAATTTCTTCTCCCACCCTTTTTTTGTTTTGTTTCATTTTGTTTTAAAATGTAAGGGATCAAACCCAGGGTCTCATGCATGCTAGGTAAGCATTTTACCTCTGAGCCATACCCTCATCCAGAAATTCTTTTCTAAGGCAGAATAACATTCCATTGTGTGTGTCTGTGTGTGTGTTAACCAAAACACCACATTTGGTTTATTCATTCATCTGCTGATGGGTATCCAAACTTTTTATTTGTACACATCCTTTTACCTAAAACTTCTACTTTGGCGATTCTCTCTACTACAAATAAAAGCACCAGCATATAAGAGCGTACACATCCTATGCAGTATCAGTGGCAGTGGCAAAATCCTCTCAGTCTACATGTCCTTTAGCAGAAGAGAGACTGAAAAATGATGGAACACCAAAGATCAATGTGTAGTCATTAAAAAGAGTGAGTCACGGACTGTGGCTGCAGCTCAGCAGTGCAGTGCTGACTTGGCATCTACAAGGCCCTGAGTTCAATCCCAGGCATCTCAAAAGCAGGGAGGAGGGCAGGAGGGAGGATGAGAGATTCCCATTATTTATCAATGAATCAACAAACACCTCAACCAGAGAAGGAGCTGCCTCACAGACAGCAGACACAAAAAGGACTGAATCAGCAACAGCGCGGCCTTGTCAAAGACTGCTGTGAAGGATGCCCCACCAAGGCGTTCTGTCTCACCCAGAGGGTACAGGAGTTTGGGTGTTTGCCTCCGCCACAGAGTTCCGTCTTCGTGGGAGATCACATCAGGGGGCTTGTGCTTATAAAGTTCATTGTAGAAAGACATCTTGTCCAGGAAACTATAGACCTGCCAACATGCAGGAAGAAACTGTCACACATTCACCTATGCAACATTCGAGCAAGTCCCACACCTGTTCTTCCAGCCAGAACGTACGTGCCGGTCCTCAAACTTCTCACCAGCCCACAACTGTGGCTTTTGCCTGGTTCTCCTGTTCTTGCCTATGTTTACTAGTCTTTTTTTTAGTTTTAGTTTTTTTTCAGACAGGGTCTTGCTATGTAGTTCAGGCTGGCCTTGAACTCACTCTGTAGTCCAGGCTGGCCTCAAACTTGCAGTGATCCTCCTGCGTGAGCCTCCTTATCGCCGGGATTACAGGCATGCGCCACTATGCTCGGCTTCACCGTTCCTTAATCTAATTTGCGGCCAATCCAGCGTCCCCATTCTCACCAGACAGCTGTGCTTTCTCAGCAGTGTGGTCTTTATTACTTTGAGCAGTAAAGATGTTCTCTCTATGCATATGGTTATTACGCATTTCTTCTATTATCCTCTTCCAAACAGACATAAGGAACTTTATTCTTATTCCCACAGTAACCACAGCAGGTACTTGGTAAAAAGATCTTCATCTTATACAAGTGAGGCACCATCTCTGGCATCTTCCGTCCAACTTTAACCTCTTACTACGGCAGCAGAACAGCAATGTGGCAAGCAGAAAGGGCTCCTAATGGAAGCTCCTCGACAGTGTCTCCCGCTCTCTTCAGGGTCTGATCGGACAACTCACCTTTTTGGCAGTGGACTTCCCAGACACAAGGGCGCGGAGCAACTGCAGGAGCGGGGAAAGAAGATGGGGAAACATCCCACACACACTGTCCAGAATGATCCCAAGGCCAGAGGTTGGTTCCTACAGTGGGAGGGGAGGAGTCACTGACCTTCAGAACTTCCTGGCAACTGTAAGAAAACCGAGGGCTCGTACTTCCCTTTAGACAGACACCATCCTTCTCTACTAATTTCACACATTCTTACTTTCTATCGTAACAGACGACTGAGTCAGTAGAGAACTGAAGGAGACTGCTAGTCTCTTCAGTGGCCTCTTCTTTGCCATTCTTCCTACAGGAAAACAATGTTGCTCCTCGATGTGCATTTCCACTAAAGTGGCAACTGCCCACCAGTGTGTGAGTGCTCAGCCACTGCACACAAGCAACAGGTGCTCAGTGCAAATACTGGCTCGTTCCTCTGCCTCCACCCAGGAAACTGTGAGCTTCTGAAGAGGAACCAGGCTCCCAGGGAAAGAGTAAGAGATCCAGACAGAACAGCCAGCCACAGCCCAAGAGAAAAAAGCGATTTACCAGAGCAAGTCTGAGGCATGAGGCTACCATCAATGCTCCCTTTCTTTCTTTCTTTCTCGATCTTGCAACGATCCTCCTGCCTCAGCTTCCAGAGTGCTAGGATTACAGGCATGCACCATCATGCCCAGCAATGCTCACTCTTTCTCCAAAGCTGAGTTCTCATGCTAATCAATCACGACACCCTGGTAACTTGTAGAAACAGTGACGGTCCCTAACAGTATGTTCACAAGTTGGAGAAATGCACCTTAAATCTCCAGGCATCACCTTTCGTCATCCTCAAAATGGTGACAATAACAGGATCGACTATGCCCATTTTTATGAAGATTAAACCAGAAAACATACATAAATGCTAAGCATAAAACCTATGACTAAGGGTTTGACAAATCCTTTTGCTCCAGAGTGTAACAGCAGGACTCCCTCCAACACTTACAGTTCCCCAGAAGAGTTCTGGAAGAGACGGGTCCGCCAGGACTTCACATGCCGTGTCTATTATATCCTGTTGGGGGAGGGGAGAGAATGATTCATTTTCCCCAGGTGAAGCAGTCTTTCTAAATTGCATTCTACTGACACAAACACACTATGAACACCTTTACATCGCATGTCAGAAAGAACTCTGGCTTTAAAGAGTAGGACTGTACCTTGCTGCCACCCACGTTGTGTCTGCAGGATGACATTAGACAAATTTACCTCTCTGAACTTCAAATGTCATCTATAAAATAGGGATAAGTTCTGGGTATGGTGGCACACACCTGTAATCCCAGATCTTGGGAAGCCGAGGCAGGAGGACTGCTACAAATTCAAGGCCAGCCTGGGCTGCATAGTGAGAACCTGTCTCAAAACACCAAACCAAATAAAAACAAAAACAGACAGAGAAAAAACTGACAGTAGCTGAGTACGGTGGTAGCTAAGCTGCTTGGCAGACTGATACAGGAGGCTTGTAACTGCAAGACCAGGCTGAGCAACTCAGCAAGACTCTCAATTCAATCCTAAGCAAAAAAGCTGCTAGTACTATGCTTCCGTGTACCACCATATGGTGAGGGTTAAGTGAGGTAATGTATAGGAAAGTGAACTGGAAATTCAGAAACACCACACAAATGTAAGGTATAACTAGGCTCAGCTAAACTGGGCTCCTAAGAGGCAAAAACAATGTCTTTTTAATTTTCTATCCTCAGCAAATAGTACAGAGCTTAGCACACACTAGGTATCCAATAAATGCTTACAGATTGACTTTTTTAAAATCCAGGTACAAGGATTCCTACAATGCCAGCACGTTAATAACAATCCTCCAAGCGTGGGGTAGAGTCCACTGTGACCAGAATTTTCCAAGTGTGCAAAGCTTGCTCTATGTCCTCAATGGTTTAGAAATAGTCCTTCAATTAAGTCCAATCTCATCTTTCTTTAATGTTAAGAAGTTTTTGTCAATTTACAAAATGAGCCACTAATCATTAAAAATGAACATAATGCTGGGCATGGGGGCGCACACCTGTAATCCAGCACTTGGGAGGCTGAAGCAGGATGATTGTTACAAGTTCAAGACCAGCCTGGGCTACAAAGTGAGCTCAAGGCCAGCCTGAATTGCACAGCAAGACCCTGTCTCAAAAAGACAAAAATAAATAAATAAACAAATAAATACAATGAGCTGGGTGTGATGGTGCACACTTAGGAGGCTGAGGTAGGAGTATCCCTATAAGTCTGAAGTTAGCCTGAGCCACACAGTGAGTTCAAGGCCAGCCTGAACTACACAGCGAGACCCTATCTCAAAAAACAAACAAAAAGAGAATGAACACAATAGCCAGGTGCAGTGATACACCCTTGTAATCCCAGCTACTTGGGAGGCTAAGGCAAGAGGATGCCAAGATTGAGGCAGCCTGGACAACTTAGTAAGATCTTATCTTAAAAAGTAAAGAGCTATAAAAAAAAAAAAAGAAGTAGTAGAGCTAGGGCCATAGCTAAGCACTGCTTAGATTTCATCCCCAGCACTAGCTCTCCCAAATCCCACTTTCAAGTGTAGCTAAGGAGGCGAATATTGAATTTCAGTTAATTTAAATTTAAATAGCTACACATCTCATGGCTACCAGAGTGTATAGCACAGTTACAAAGTAAAAGAAACCTGAAACACTTATCAACCTACTATGATGCTATTTACTTAAACACAATTTATGACATTTATAAGACAATTGGAAATCTGAACCCTGACTTGATATCTAAAGATACTGTTTTGTGGTTGCTGTTATTTTAATGCTTGAGAAACTATGTTTAATGAAATATTCACAAGTGAAGTTACATGACATCTTGGATTTGTTTTAAAATAGTCAAAGAGGAGGCTGAAGCAGGAAGATCACTGCACATTCAAGGCTAGCCTAGGCTGCACAGTCAGTTCAAGGCTGGTCTCAACTGCATAGGGAGACCCTGTCTCGAGTCACAAACAAATAACATAACATATAACATAACATAACATATAACATAACATACCGTAACATAACCAAGGAGGGAAGGGACAGAAATGAAAGAACATTAGCCCTGAGCAGTTTACTGTGGGAGCCTGTGATGGGGGACATAGAATGTGGTCTATCTGGTCATGAGTCTGAAATCCTGCATTTGAGAAAAATGTTGCGGAACAGTCTCTTTTAGCATGCACTGCTGTCTGAGACAGATGAGCACAGAGAGAGAAATGAAGTTATAAAACAATACCGGTCACCCCTCCTATCTGTGGGCTCCACACCTTAATCAACATGGAGTAAAACTACGAAGAAAAACCCAAATTTGGAACAAACACATGCAGGCTTTTTTCTCTTAATCATTATTCTCTAAACAAGACCACCTAACAACTATTCCCAAAGCACTTACATGGTATTAGGTACTCTGAGTAATTTAAAGATAATGTAAAATATCCTGGAGGACACACGTAGGTTACATGTGAACACCACACCACCTTATAGAAGGACTTAGCAGCAGTAGACTTTGGTACCCTTGGTTTCTGAACCCATCTGCACAAGTACCAGGGGCTGAATATCTAGTATGACTCCATTCTAGAAAAGAATTATTACGTTTTATGTGTGTGAAGAGCACGGAAGGGAACACATCAAAATGTTAACAGAAGTTATCCAGAGGCGAGATGGGATTACACTTCTTACTAGTGATCAGCATTTTGTTTTCTCTGTCACGGATATCACTCATATAACCATAAATGAAAACAAACAGCAGCCAGGAATGTAGCTCAGTGGCAGCAGCACCTGCCTGGCAAGCGCGAGGTCGTGGGTTTGATTCCTGGTACTGGAAAAAAAAAAAAAAAAAAAAAAACCAAACAGCAATGAACAAATGAAAATGTGAAGCAAACTGTATCAGATCCAAAGCGCTGTTACAGGGATTTGACTGCAGAGCTCAGCAGTGCAGCCAGCCCAGAAAGCCAAGTACCAACCTGCTGATTGCCCAGTGTGTGTAGCTCCAGCGAGGTCAGGACGAAGGAGAGCAGCCCGTAGACACACATGCATGCGGTGCTCGAGGTACACTGCAAAGCAAAGCAGTCGGTGACTGACTGAGTGCCACAGCACCTGTGCAGACTCAGCCTAAGTCTAGCATGGTACATCCTTACAAGCAAGTGGGGTGGGACCCTGAATCTTTCACCATTTTCCTAATTTAGTTACAAAGATCAGAAAAACAAAGGCAGAAACATGAAAGCCACAAATGTAACAACTCAGTCAAGAATAAAGGCAGAAAAAAAAAGAATAAATCAGAAAGAACTACTTAGAGCTGGAGAGTCAGTTCAATAGCACTTGCCTATCATGCATGAGACCCTGGTCAATTCCCAGTGTATATATGTAGTTCTATATATTCCCCGCCTCAAATGATCAAAATCTGTGTGGAAGAGAAGGAAAACCACAGCCTGCCTCGAGAAGAGACAGTCTACATCTCCAGTCTATCCTGGAGAAAGGACAGGACTAATACAGTGCCTCAGCCATCACCAACATTAGTCAACCACTGCCAGCAAACGGGGCCTATTTGCTCATGTTTTGGCTTTGTTTGGGTTCACTTCTTAGAGCAGTTCTAGTTTCTTATCATACAGAATCACTTTACTACCCTGAAAGTCTTCTGAACACAGCCTATTCAAATTCCTCCCTCTCAACCAGTGCCTGAGGACTGACGCTGCCCTGTACTATCTCCCCACTCTGCCTTGCCTGGAACACCTTCGGCTGGAGCCAGATACTATGAGCCTTTCCCAGCTGGCTTCTTTTGCTCCGTATTGTACAGTTAGGAGTCCTCCAATCTGCTCATGCCTGACCACTCACCCCCTTATAGCACTAAATAAAAGTCCGTTGTCTGGACGTACCAGTTGCCTTATTCCTACCCTTTGAAGGACATTTTAGCAACCTCCAAGTTCTGGCAGTTGTGAATATCTTCCACCCCTCTGGGCAAATACCAAGGAGCATAACTGTGGAATCTGAGTTTTCATCTTACTATCTTTGCAGGGCTGGGGATGGAACCCAGGGCCTCACATGTACGAGGTAAACACTCCACCACTGAGCTAAACCCTAGTCTCTAAGGTTTCATCTTAGTACAACAAAATAGGCTGACTAAACCATGCCACTTGAATTAAGCCCCAACACAGACTCAAGAGAAATTCTGATCCATCCTGTTACAGTTGAGAGAGCAGGTCCCCCGGAAAGGGCTCCTCTCATCAATATGACCCAAGCAGTCCTCTAGGGCAAGCACTTGAAGAGTCAGGCATAATGAGTTCCATCTATGTCCACCATTTGCTGGCAGTTGTTGCTTTAGGCAAATTGCATCTCACTGACTCTCAATTTCCTAATGTGGAAAACAAGACAATAACCCTTAACCCAAATAAGTGTACTAAGGAGTAAGATCCTGCCGAGAAAGCGCTGAGCAGCGTCTGCTAACAGCAAAGGCCTTTTAAAGTTAGTTCCTCCTCGTCACCCTCACCCACTCCACTGTGGCCACTCTTACAGCAGCCTCGGTTCTGCCTGCCCTTCCCTATTTGTTCTCCTGTTCAGCCAGCAGCCTCAGACTCACATCGTCCCCGCCGCTGGCCAGCGACCGCAGCAGTCGGGTCAAGTACTGAAACACGTTCAGCTGGATGGCCATGCCGCCTATCTTGCGCACCACACTGCTCGTCTCTTCTGGGTTCAGGGTATGGCGGAGGAGAGCCCAGGCCAAAAGCACTGGGGCGTGATGAGGGATGTCCCCAAAGGTCAACATCAAATGGTCCATATCCTAATGAAGGGAAAATAGCAAGGATGAAGATGCCTCAACAGGGTTCTTCCCCATAATCAATAGGCATTTCTTTCATCCAGAGAAGCCTACTGTTCACTCTGATGTTCCCCAGTAACCTTGCTAATAAGCCCCTTCCTGCTACGGCTTGTATCTGCACGTCCCCCCAAAGCCTCATGCGTTCAGAGGTGGAGCTGGCTGATTACGGGGTGCCACAGCTGGGTGTGGGGAGGTGGGGCCTGGTGAGTGGACAAAGGTCACTGGGGACATGGCCTGGAAAGGTGGGCTCCCTTCCCGGCAGGGCCACTGAGGTGAGCAGCTCTCCCCGACCCGGGCCTTCCCTCCCACCCTCCTGCATTGGAGCCCACGACTAGACTAAAAACATGCGCCGGAAGAGCCCTCTCCTTTGGGTCTGGGTGTCCAGTGTTTTGTCCCAGTGAGGAGGAAAGTGATGAAGATACCCACCATTACTCTTCACCTTACCCACCATTTTTTCTGTGTTTTTTTTTGTTTATTTGTTTTTTGTTTTTGGAGACAGGGTCATGTTATGTAGTTCAGGCTGACCTTGAGGTCACCACCTCAGGGTGGCCTTGAACTCACAGTGGTTATCCTGCCTCAGCCTCCCAAGTGCTGGGATTATAGGCGTGCGCTACCACACCTGGCTTCTCCTGATTTTTAAATAGTCTTAATTTAGAATTATAAAACGTATGCTCAAATGGGGACTCTAGAAATTTTATTCCCCTGATCTTCCTCCTCTTTTTTTTCGTTTTGTGGTACGCCTGTCCCTGTACCATTTCCATGAATGACTACTCACTCTCAGATTAAACTGTCACTGCAGAGATGACTGACAAAGACGAGGTTTATTCCAGGTCTAACTACCTAAGGATGCACAACTTCTAATCCTACAACACTAGAAATGTTACACAACAGGACACTTAAGCAGTTGAAAACACACTACTTACCATAAGAGAGCCAAGAAAAGAGGAGGTTCTTCCAAGCTCACCTGACAAATAAGCCCATCCTGAGCAAACTGGTGCAGCTCTCTCCTGTCATCCAAAGCACATTTATGCAAAGACTCGATATCCATGCCTTCCACCAGGATGAGGGCACTGAAGTAGCTGGAAAGGAAACAGTGCCTTGGTCTCATTCTGCTGCTCTGAACCTCACCGCACACACTTGGCTATCAACAAGTTACTAGTGAGTTGTTTAACACTCTTTTCTCATACTAAGTCTTCTGGTCCAGTCTGTGCTTTACACTTCCAGCACACCTCAAGCACCTGACAGGCATGCGCAGCTGAGCCCGCCGTACTGGGCAGCACAGATTTAGTACTAAAGGTTTCACAGCCACCACTTACACCTGACCCATGTACACCATCCCATATCCCAGGTGTGAATCTTTGCTATGATCGAGGGAACAGCCCTCAAGATGTGGGAACATCCATGGCCATCAGCAGCGGAAAAAACGAAGTCCACAATGACCTCTTCTTTGCATTTGCATAACACTGGCCTGGGATGGTTGTTCAACAACTATTTTCTGTTCAATGAATGAACTCGGAGTTGAAGACAAAGGAGAAGCGCATAATGATTATTTTGAGAGAAGAACATATCCCCTTGAATCCCAGCCTTTACTTCTTGTACAAACTGCAATGTCTCAAGTACACCCCCACTTCCCCACCCCTTACCTATTCAAGAATGGCTACGAAAATGTTAATGCTCTACACACTGTACAAATGCTGTGACTTCATTTCTTCACACTCACCCAATCCGATCCATAATAGGGTCCATGGTCTCATCCACCAAGTGTCTGTTGGTCTGCCTACTACCAAATCCTTGCTCTTTAAACATCTTGGTTAATACCAGGAGATCACTAGGTGCCATCTCGAAGTACGCATAAAAGAGAAAAATAATTTCTAGCAGCATGGACTGTTCCCGAAGGCACTGAACAAACCAGCGAGACACCTGGCGCTCAGTCTGCATAACCAATGAAGAAAAAATGGGAAAGAATAATGAGAATAAAAGCCATACCTTAGGGCCAGGGATATAGCTCAGTGGCATAAGCGCCTGCGTGGCAAGCGCAAGGTCCTGAGTTCAATTCCTAGTACCAAAAGAACTTATTTTTGATGAGGTGTTTTTTTTGTTTGTTTGTTTGATTTTTTTGAGACAGCGTTACATCATGTAGTCCAGACTGGCCTTGAACTTCCGGTGATCCCCCTGCCTCAGATTCCCAAGTGCTGGGATTATAAACATGGACTAGAGCATCCAGCTAAAAACCATACTTTAACGCCCTCATTTTTAATGAGGGCACCAAGTGTATAATATTCCACTGCATGTAAATGTCACAATTCATTTTACCTAGCCCACTTGGAAGGGCATTTAGGTAATCTTTGCTAAAAATCAGCAAACATAGGCCAGGCATGGTAGTGCACATCTCTAATCCCAGTTACTTGTGAGGCAGGAGGATCTCACTGAGTTCGAGGCCAGCCTGGGTAACTTAGTGAAATCCTATCTCAAAATAAATAAGAAGGGCTGGGGAGGTACCTCACTTGCCTGGCGTGCCTGGGCCCCTCTCTTTAATAAATATTCTAAATAGCTAATGTCTGTTTTTGCTGACATGTTTTTAATAAAAATCCATTCAATTCAAAACAAAAAAAGGCATGCTACAATCTATAAATGCAGATTGGTTTAGGATTTAGGATAACACGATCAGACTAGTGCCATACGCTTCACAGAAAAGGACACTAAAGAAGATAAAATCTTGGGCCTAGAGTAGCATTAACCACTAGGAGAATATTTTAGGTGAGGACAGAAAATAAACAGATAAAGAAAGTCTGGGTCCATAATTAAGTACTATTATGAAGCCATCGGCATTTTGATCTGATTGTTTTTCTGAAGAATGAGAACCCAGACCCATGCTCAGTTAGTACCTGATCATCCTTTAACCTGCTCCCATGAATGGGGCCGTGCTGTTCTCCTCGGGCTATGGGAGAGCAGAGCGCAAGCGTCACGTACCATGAGGTTCCCGCGTGTCTCCCAGGTCGGTGCTTCGGTTTTACATAGCTCTTCAAACTGCTGCCTGTATTTTACAACTAGCTGTTCCTTGTCCAATTTATCAACACAGTCTGCATATTCAACCTTAAAAAAAATAAAACAACTCTCACCTAAAATGTAGATATTCAAATCAATATGAAGAGCATAAAATGATTAAAAAGGTCTGAAATGCTAAATGGCAGAGAGAACTGGAAGCACTAAACAGGCTTACCCTATAAGGGTGTCTTTCATCTTGGAAATAAGTGAGAAGGTGTAAGACACAACGAAGAACACAGGTTCTTTCTTCATAGTAATAATCTGCAACCTGAGAAGAGTCCAAAGATTCAATATCAATAATTCACCTTTGTCAAGAGGATACTCATTTACACTTACTGGTGATCACTTAAGATGTGAACTGAAAAGTTTGTCAAAATTTTGAACAAGAGGCCAGGTGTAGTGGCACACGCCTGTAATCCCAGCACTTGGGAGGCTGAGGCAGGAGGATCTTTGCAAGTTCAAGACCAGCCTGAGCTACAAAGTGAGCTCAAGGCCAGCCTGAACTGCATAGTGAGAACGTGTCTCAAAAAGACCAAAACAAAATTTTTTTTGAATTAGACCAAAAAACAAAACAAAACAAAACAAAAAAACAGAAACCAGAAAATAAACCTTCATCAACCAGAAAATAATGAAGCCGAGGAGGATGGAAGGAATTATTTAATAACATAAACAAGTTTCATAAAAAGTTTTCCAGTATGATTTCTCAGAGCATTCAAATAACACACAAAGCTATACAAACTGACAGGCCAGAAACATAGAAACAAACACAAAAATATCAGTGATATATGTCCTAACTGCTTGAATTAAGTCTCACTACATATCAAATAGGATCACCTTTTTTTTTGTACCAGGAATTGAACTCAGAAGCTTACACTTGCCAGGCAGGCACTTGTGCTGCTGAGCTATATCCCCGGCCCAACCCTTTTTCTTTTGAGACAAGGTCTCACTATGTAGTTCAGCCTGGCCTTGAACTCACTATGTGGCCCAGGCTGGCCGCAAACTCAAGGTGATCCTCCTGCCTCAGCCTCCCCAGTGCTGGGATTACCAGTGTGTGATACCACACCCAGCAAAAATTCCATTTTAAAAGGAGATCCTGGAGGTTGGAGGGTAAGTAGGGAATTTAGGATAAAAAGAAATATAAATTAATTCTGTTGGATTTAGATATTAAAAAAAAAAAAAAAAAGATACCCATGAACCAGATCCCAACAGCAGGAACTGAACAACCTCCTAGAAAAGTATCTCAGCAGGGCCCAGTGCATCCAGCCTCTTATTTTCCAACTGGCTGACCACGGTCTTCACTAAGACCTCCAAGCCTGCCCACTAGAAGGGTCAGAGGCCACCCATGAAAACAAGGTGCAGAAGCTGCCACCCAGCTGTACCCCAAAGAATGGAAACGATGCCCACTACTGACCTTCAGGATTAAGGCCTGGCTCTGCCGCTCATCTTGCAGGACCGTCTGAGGGAGAGGAGGGCAGTCAAGACGCCGTCTTATGGCGAAACTCAGTTAACAGAGAAAGAGATGGACAACTTCCCCTCACCCTTCCAGATCATGAGTGCCCATTTATCTCCGCAAACATTCCCTACACCTTACTCTTCACTCACACCTGTGCTCGTCCCTCCGCTCTCCTCTAGCCTCAGGTTCCTCACATGTAAAATGAGGCACTGGGCTGGTTCCACGATTAAAGAGTCTCTCTTTATCCCTCCACCCTTCCAAGTGAGGCCACAGCTCAGTTTAAATGTATATTCTTTCTTAAGCCTTTGGGAAGTTTTACTGAGAATGGCTGCACCTGATAACCCACCTCTGCTGAAAGAATGGGAGCCAAGCCTCGCTAAAACCACCATGGAAAAAGGAAAAGTGCAGCAGAGGAAGCTGAGCATAAGCACGTACCTTCAGAGAGTCCACTGTGCCCCTGTAGTCCTCTTGAATGTAACACTGGAGAATCAGCACACTCTGTTCTTCATCAAGACCCTGAGATACAGAGGAGCAGCCACAGAGGCTCCAATCACACATGGGGCGCAAACCATTCAAATGATCTGTCTTCTGGATCGAAGGCAGGACTTGGATAAACACAAGTCTCTCTCTTTTTTTTTTTTTTTTTTGTCTTTTTTGAGACAGGGTCTCACTATGCAGTTCAGGCTGGCCTTGAGCTCACTTTGTAGCTCAGGCTGGTCTTGAACTTGTGATGATCCTCCTGCCTCAGCCTCCCAAGCGCTGGGATTATAGGCGTGTGCCACCATGCCCAGCTACAAGTCCTTTTCAAATACTCCATGCAACATAATAGTTTCACCCCAAGTAGGAGAAAAAAGGGGTAACGGAAATACCATTTGCATGACAACTAAATTCACAAATCCAAAACAGGCGCTCATTCACCAAGCACATTAATACAGTGGCAAGACATGATCTGGGCTTCCAACATTAAACAGAAGTAGCCACATATTTAAATACAAACTCCTCAATTTACAGACTATCACAGGCCTGCTGAAGAAAACAGATATGAATAAAATAAATAAACCATTAAAAGAAAACTATGATATGTAGCAAATAGGTTAGGTAACTTTGATTTCTGACTTTTGGTAAGTAAAGTTGTAACCTGGATATTTCTGAAATACAGTACATTGAATTAAATCCTCAAAATTGAAATAAAATGAATTTCCATTTGACACTGCAATAAAATGAATTTTGACTAACAATAAAACCAGGTAAATCCATACTACAAATAAATTTTTTTTGTTGTTTTGTCTGTTTGTTTTGAGACAGGGTATCACTATACAGTCTAGGCTGGCCCTGAACTCACTATGTGGCTTAGGCTAGGCTCAAACTCATGGTGATCCTCCTGCCTCAGCCTCTCCAGTGCTAGGATTATACGCGTACATAACCATGCCCAACATACTGTAAGTAATAAAAAGTGAGCAGGAGCTAATTTTTACTCACCAAAAACTTGCTGATTCTTAAGCCCACTTCCTTCAGTTGTGGAGCTAACTCTCCATCGGCTTTCACTTTTTCAGCTGAACTTGGACTACGAAAATAAGAATGAATCATTTCCTCATTCTCAATGACCCTCTAGTGGTTTAAATAAAAATACTTAAAGGTATTTTTAGCACAGGCTTTTTTCCCTGCCATTTAAGTGCCTACAAAATACACACACACTCACTGAAATAGACTTTATAACACAGAACTTGTTATGCCTAAGTAATACAAATAGTGTATTTCTGTTATAACAACATTACTTGTAGATTTATTTGAGGTTTTTATTTCATTTTGGTCTTTTTGCAAAGCTGAGGATTGAAACCAGGGCACTGTGTGCATGCTAGGCAAGCACCCTACCATGAGCTATATCCCCAGACTTCTACATTTTTTATGTTGAAACAGGGTCTTGCTAAGTTGCCCAGACTGGTCTTGAATTCACAATCCTGCCTCAGCCTTCTTAGTAGCTGAGATTACAGGTGTGAGCCACCACCCCAACACACTAATTATTTTTGATCTTTGCAAATACCCTGAAAGATAAATATATTACTATCTCTATTTTATAAATGGAATTATCAACACATAGAAAGAAGAAATAACTTACCAAAAATCCCACAGCTAATAAAAAGTTGAGAGGAAATTTAAAACCAGGTCTGTTACTATACACACATGTATTATTAAGCGCTATGGAGAAGGCCTAGAAGTTAGGAGACCTCAGTAACAGCAACCACATTTATCACTCACATCCTTTTTACTAATACCATTCTCCAATGAAAGGGACTAGAACTCCCTGGAGAAATGGCTGACTCCAGAGATGATTCAGAAAAATTAAAGATGAGCCTAAACCACAGTGAAGTGTCCAAAACTAAGAATGTAGCCAGGCATGGTGGCACACGCCTATAATCCCAGCACGCAGGTGGCTGAGGTGGAAGGATCGCTGTGAGTTCAAGGCTAGCCTGAACTACATAGCAAGACCCTGTCTCAAAAACAAACAAACAAACAAACAAATGAAAACGAAGTGTTCAAGACACAAAAGCATGGAGACATGTCAAAAGGGCACACACACAAACCTGAAAGAATTCCCACTGGCCAAAGACAGAACAAAGTATAAAGAAATATAGGGGACTAGGGCATAGCTCAATGGTGCTTGTCTATCATGCATAAAGCCCTGGGTTCAATTACCAGGACCCCACCCAAAAAAGCATAAACGAACTACAGAATAAATATACATGAGTAGATACTGATAAACAAATGAGTGAGGGAGTAAGGGAAATTTTCCTTGTGGAAAATCCCAAATAGCATACACAGATACTACCTCCTTCAGGAGGTGGAGTTTAATCCCCCACCACCCACATTGAGTAGACTATACTTAGTAATGCACCTCCAAATATAGAGGCCGGCAGGGGTGGGGGGTGGGAGGTGGGTGAGGGTGGTAACTTTGCAGGGGAGAAACAAATGATACTTTAACTACGTGACCAAGGTTAACATCACCAATGACTTTGTAAATGTAACACATCCCCTCTGAAATGATAGAATGGTCCTTCACCTCAGTGTGTTCTTTCCCAAAACTCACACCCCAAACCTAATAATGACAAAGACATCAGACAAATCTAAATTGAGGGTTTCTACCAAATACCTGACTGGTCTTCCTAAAAAATATTCAAGGTCATCAAAATCAAGGAAAAAAATCTGAGATGCTGTCAGAGTTAAGTGGAGACTAAGGAGACATGCCCACAAATTGCAATATAGTGCCCTGGACTGGGTTCTGGAACAAAAAGAAGACATTAATGAAAGAACTGGTAATGTTCCAATATGGTAAAGTTCCAATAAAGTCTAGAGTTTAGTTTTAGCTAAAAAAGAAAAGAAAAAATCTATTTGACTTCAAATCCCACACAGTTTTCCCGGAAAGGGGGCAGAGTCGGGGGCCTTGTGTTTAGCCTGCACAAGGCCATAGGTAGGAACACCATTAAAATCCTTCCAGAACATCCTTAAATGCCACAGATGACTACGCTCTGACATAAAGTACAATGTTGTCGGATTTTTTTTTTAAATAGCGTTTCTTACATTTCACAGAAAATCCACAACATAAAGGCTAATGTAGGGAAAAACAATAGGTTCTGAAAAAGGTAACACAGGATGAATAAGAAACACAGACACTGCAGTTAAGACTGCCAGGTTAGAATCCTGGTTTCACCACTTACTAGCTGTGTGACCTTGGGCAAGTTATTTACCTCTCTGTGCCTCAGTTTCCCCATCTGTAAAATGGAAACAGTGATAACAAAAGAATATCTAAATGTGATAAAAGTTGTTATATTCTTTTTTTATTTTATTTTAATTTTTTGGTTTTTTCCAGTACCGGGAATTGAACTCACGATCTTGTGCTTGCCAGGCAGGCGCTGTGCTGCTGAGCTAAATCCCCAGCCCCTTATATTCTTTTTTTTAAAGTCCATATATTTTAGATACATAGTGGAGTATTTACAGATAAAATAGTATGTCTGGGAGTTACTTCAAATCATTACGAGAGAAAGGTTAACTGATTAACACTAAGAGAATGAAGACAGTAAAGAAGGAATAAACCCAATAGATGTTAGAAGTAGAAAGGAAACGAGGATAGGATGATGTGGCAAGAGGGTGAACTCTAGACCACAAATTAAGATAAATGACTCAGCCTTACAAGCTATATTTTCTTTTTAAACTATTTTACATTTTATTATTGCCATTTTCAATTGACCAGTAAAAACCTACATAGTCACCAAAAATAAAAATAGTAAAGTCTTAAAGGATCACTGTAAGGCTTAAATAACTTGTAAGTCAACTACTTAAAAAAAACCCTGGTACATAATAAACACTATAAATTGTTAGTTAACACCAAATTGTTAGCTGCTAGTGTTCACTGCTATAGCCCCATTTAGTGCTCACACAAAGGTAGTGAACCCTAAATCTTAGAAATATTAATGCTTAGAAATAATAAATGCTCATTCCCCAGAAAGGGTCAGATAACTGGATTCTATATTAATTTTTTAGAATAAATTTCCCTTTCAACAGATAGAAAAAAATGTGCCATATTCTTTTTTGTTTGGGTTTTTTTTGTTGTTGTTGTTTTTGTTTTTTTTCCGGTACCAGGAATTGAACTCACAACCTTGCGCTTGCCAGGCAGGCACTGTGCCGCTGAGCTAAATCTCCAGCCCCTTGTTTTGTTTTTTTGAGACAGGGTCTCATTATGTAGCCCAGGCTGGCATCAAACTCACAGTGATCCTCCTTCCTCTGCCTCTGAGTGCTGGGATTACAGGCATCTGCCTCCGTGCCCGAGCCTTTTTTTACTGATAACCAAATTGCTTTCTCTCTGATCTAGTTACCTAACAATATCACGGAAGTATATATAAGGATAGTTTCAACTATGCCAGCTTCCTCTGGGGAATCACTCTAACCCAGGTGCATGGAAGTCATACCTGGGAGGTTTGTAGTAAGAAAGCCCTTCTAATAACCGCTGCCAATGTTTATTCAGTTCTGCTTCAATCTGATCCTGGAAAAGAAGAAGGCAATTACACAAATGCAATTTTAATCAGACTCCAGGGTCACACTGAGGATTACATATTCCACTGAGTTTTTTTAAAATGCATTTCCCCCTAGTTTACAGCACTTTCAACATAGAATTCCGTACCCTCCTTTTCTTTGCTTACTGTCATAGCATAATAACATACCCCTATTATTAAAATCTTGATAAATTCACTTTCTAGTGGTTGCATAATATTTTACCAGGTGGCTATGTCACAACTTATTTACCATTCTTTTAATGTTAGATACACTTCAGCTGAATGTAATTCTTTATTAATGTAAATAATGTGCTGAAACACTTTCTGCAGAAAACTTTTTGAGGATTTTCTTCTCTGGAGAGTCATTCTGGATGTGAAGTGATCAGATGAAGGCATGTCAAAAAATGCTAATGCTCCAAAATAAATGTAACATTCACTACATTCATTATAATAACAACATAAGGGCTGGAGATACAGCTCGCTGCAAAGCAGTTCAGAGCAGGTTTACAGCATGCACGAGGCCCTGGGTGCAATCCCCAGCACTACAGATAAAACCATCCTCTTAAAAAGTTATCTTCACAGGGTCAGAACGCCTAAGCAGCAAGCAGAACAGCTACCCTTTACTGATACACACTTGGAAATGCCCTTGAAACCACAACTGCTATGACCTAAGCGTGGAAAATGGAGAGAAGGGACTTCCAGGATGAGAGAACAAATCTGAGAAATCAGTCTGAGGGAGTAGAACAATGTTTGTCCCCTGGTTTCATCAGCTAACTCACAGCAATGCCTCTTCAGAAAAGGGACGAAGAAAGGGAGATTTGGGAAACTTCAGCACCTACATTATAAGACATGTTTCCATTTCAGCAAAGAGAAGCTTAGTACTTTATGAAGTGTTAGGAACAAGAAAATCTGTTTACTTACCACTTCAAAGAGAAGGCTTAATATAAGCAACACCCACATCAAAAATCAGAAATCATTCAAGAGCACTACTACACTTACCAGTTCTCTCAGAGCTGATCTTCCAAGTAGAATTGTCCACAGTTCTCTGCTGCTTCTGAAAAATGAGGGAGCAGAAGTAATTTTGTTCTAGACAGCATAAACTCAATGATGCGACCTCACAGCCGTTCTGTCTATTCATTAAAAGCAAAAAGTCATTGTATAAGACAGTATGCTAAAAATGTGGAAAGTAATTGGTATACTACTAGAAGTTTGATGTTCAAAATTTTTAAAACATGAAGAAACTAAAATATACAATTTTAATGTAAACCAGCCTCAGTAGTGACCTGTGGGGTGGGAGGGGGAGAGGACTGGCTCCTTGGGGGAAAAAAAGAAAAAAAAGAAGATTTTAACCCAAATCAAACCAATAGCATGCTTTAAAAACTGAAGACCGTTACCATATTTCAAAACACAGGTCAGATGCTTTTAAGACTAGAAATGTGGCTCAATGCCACACAGCTCTTGCCTAGCGTGTACAAAGCCAAGGTCATCCCCAGCACTGTAAAACAAACAATCAAGTAAGCCTGCGGCCTGAGGCAAGTTGGTGAGACCCTGTCTCAAGAGTAAAAGGGCTCAGGCAGTTGAACTCCACAGCAGGGCATGTGCCAACACGCGTACAGCCCGGGGTCAGTCCTGCACACCACACACACAAATCCCATCTCCTCTCTTCTCATCACAGCACAGTGACCCATAACAAAAAAGAATCTAAAAAAGGGCTATGAGTATTGCAGGGCCCTTGTCACCTCCAGAATATTTTCTAAATACAGGATATAATCCATGTCCTCAATGAAGTAAAGTTTAATAGTCATGGTTAAGACTACTAGTTTATTCATTTATTAATGATTTCCCAGCAGATGTCACAAGCAGAGCTAGACAACGAAATAATAAAAGCCATATATTAGTCCTTGCTCCCGTGTGTTTTCAAATATACTACACCCCACACCGGCTTATCCCAGTGTTTTGTTTTGTTTAAGAAACTGGTGTTCTATTTTCCATCAGCCTCATTTCCATTTTGTTTAAGTGTCTGCAGAACAGCTCAGAACCACTCAGTGGTGGTTCTTACCCACTGCGTGCCCTGTGCAGTGGGGGATGCAGACCAGCCTCCTAGAGCCGGCAGAGCACTTGTTTTTGGCAGGGAACTGCTCAATGGGCACAGAGGGCACCTGTATGCCTTCAGACCAGTCTGTATCCTCAGGTTGGGCAGGAGTAAACTCAGGAGCTGTGCACACAGATTTTCCATTCACCCTGAAAGTCCTCTTTGGTCCCAGCTGGCTCTTCCTTTTCAATCTCCTCAGGCTCTCCGTAGAAGTAGAGATCAGGCATGACCTCCCTAGGGTGTTCAGCGGGACACGGTGCCACGCATGCACATCAGACCCACTGAGTGAGCTTCCTAGTTATTGCACGGGATGGCAATGTCCCCTTAGCGCAGAGGAAAATCTGTGTTACACAGAGCAGAGGTTACCAGATTGACACAGACACCTCTGTGAGGGGCTGGTGGTCCGCCCTTCCCTGGGGTCAGTAACCACCAGAAGATGCGGCTCTTGGAAGGCTGCCTGGACCTGGTTAGCGAAGGTCAGGAATGAAGTGCTCAGCAATGGGAGCAGCTCTAGCAGTAGCAGCAAACTTCAGCGCAGCCCATTGGCTGGTGTTCCTAGAGGATACTGATGTGGACAGCAGGGTTTTCCGCAGTGACTATGGCTCGCACTTCAGCAGAAGCTTCTCCCAGGTCCGCTTCAGATTTCTGATATAGATTCCACCACTTTTCCTGGAAATCCAGGTTGGTACCCCTAAGTGTGTTTCTGCAGCAAGGAATTTGAGGACGTCTTCCTCCTTCATTTGTAGGACATCAAGGACTCCAGACATTGTGACAGTTTCCCTTTAAATTACGACAGGAGTCAACAAGGCTGCATGGACCCCTCCCTGGGCAGTGCGGAAAGCTTACACCCAGGCCTCTGGAACTTCACAATACACATTTCGGGGGTTAAATGTAGAATTAATCTCAAAATGTATCATTAAGACATGCTCTCAAGCCGAGCATGGAGGCACATACCTGTAATTCTAGCACTTGGGGGAGGCTGAAGCAGGAAGATTGCCTCAAGTTTGAGGCTAGCCTGAGCTACACAGCGAGACCAAGACACACTCTCAAGAAAGTTATAAAAAGGACAGGTGTCTTATCTTACGACATCCTAAATCAATACCTAGAAGAGTAACCTGAATAGCACCATTTAGAAAGCCAACTACAGAGAAAGGATGAAAAAGTTCTAGTACAATATACACAACGTTTAAGAAAAACAATCCAAGCTGTTATGAGGACAAGCTGAAAAGTATTTTCCCCAGCTGGGCATGGTGCTACACATCTGTAATCTCACTGCTTGGTTGGCTGAGACAGGATCACCCAGAGTTCAAGGCCAGCCTGGGCTACATAAGAGAGTTGAAGGCAGTGAGACCTTGTCTTAAAAAAACCAAAAAACCAAAACGAAACAAACAAAAAAACCTTGAAAGTTTTTTTTTAACATGCCTTTGTAAAAATACAATTATCCTTTTACTTATTTGCTTGGTAAATCTAAATTAACAAAAAAATTAAAAAACAAAAAATAAAAAAAAACACAAAAAATTAAAACTTTTATTTAAAATATCATTGTGCTCACCTAACATGTGAGGCCTGCGTTCAATCCCTAGCACCATGAAAATAAAATAAATAAATAAATAAATAAATAAAATTTTAAAGTGTTTTTCCTTTACCAAAGACAGCTTCTGGTTTGCACAAAAGTAAGACAGCATACCAAATCAACATTAAACAATCAACAGCCTTTAAATACACCAATAAACTAGCTGAAAAGGAAATCAGAAAAACAGCTGCATTCAAAACAGCTCCAACAAAATATTAAAACACCTGGTAATCAACCTAACAAATGAGGTGAAAGAATACTACAATGAAAATTACAGGACTTGGAAGAAAGAACTTAAAGACACTAGACGACAGAAAGACTCCCATATTCATGGATTGGGAGAATTAATATTACTGAAATGGCCATAAAAGTGATCTATAGAGTCAATGCAATCCCCATAAAAATTCCAAAGACATTCTTTGCAGAACTGGAAAAAAAGGGCTAAAATTCATATAGAAGCCGGGCATGGTGGCGCATACTTGTAACCCCAGCACTTGGGAGGCTGAGACAGGAA